GCAGACCACTAATGCACTTTAACTTCTCATCTCTATTCTCAATGATTATTTTGGTCCCTACTCACCTCCACGACCTTTGATTGGTCTCTGATCAATGTGCCTTTTTTTTCCCCCAACTAAAGCAAGTACCTGAGCTCTTGACTACATTTACCTCTTACTCCATGGCCTCAAGGTTTTAAATATTCTTTCTATTTTCTGGCTTCTTCCCCTAAGCATCTCCTGTATTGAAAAACATTCCTCTTTTATTTTTTATTTTAATTCTCAAAATACATTGTAGTTGATTTTCATGCCCCTTTATCCGTTCCTTTCCACCCCATCCCCTCCCCCCCCATCGTATCTGTTCACTTGACTTAAATAGTTCAAGGAATTTTTGTGGAAAAAACATTCCTCTTTTACTGTCGTGCTTCCCTCCTAAAACAGTTTGCACTCACTGTTTGTACTGTTGTACCTACCTTTCACTCAGTGTGCTGCAACTAGACTTCTACCTTCACCATGCTCAACAAAACCACATGGGCAAGGTCTTCCATACATACTAATCTCTAACTCCAGTGGATTCTTTTCTTCTTACCCTTTCTGCAGCTTTTGACACTATTGGCCATTTTTTCTCCCATTAGCTTCCTACATCACTTTCTCCTGGCTCTTTGCTTACTTCTCTGATTCTTCCTTCCTGATTTCATTTGAGTGTTTCTTTTTCTCACCTCACCCTTTAAATTTTGATGTGTTCTAAAATTCTGTTCTTGACCATCATTTCATTTTACACTTTTTTTTTTAGTAAATTCACCCATTCCTATGGCTTCACCATTATGCTGATGACTTCCACATCTTCAAACCAGATATCTTTTGTTGTGTTAAGTCAGTGAATTCAAGTTCCTACTGGATGCCTCTCTTCAGATACTTGAAATGTCTGCAGCCCCCTCAACATATCTAAAACTAAGTAAAATACCTGCGATTCATCCTAGGCTTCTCCCTTTTCCTTAACTTTCCCCTTCTCTCTTCCCCCTCATGCCATCACCAACCCCATGTCACCAGGGGATGAATGTTGTTAATTCTATTAATTTAACATTTTTTATATTTGTCTCCTACTCACTATCTCCTCTGTCTATTATCGTGTTATAGGTTCCTATCCTCTTTTGACTGGTCTATTGCAATATCATCTTCATTATTTCCCTTCTTCTAGCCTTGATCCCATCCCACCTACTCTCCTCACTATTGCTGAAGTGATTTTTCTAGATATAAAACTGCTAGTATTACTCTCATGCTATACACTTTTCAGTGATTCCTCGTCGGTACAAAGTCCAGACTCCTTTAAAATGCATATCCTGTGGTACAGGACCTAGCTTCTGCCTGCCTCTCTAGCTCATACAGCAGAATGCATGCAATGGAAATATTACAGCTGATTTTGAAGCCTATTTAAGGAATTTTGTTCTGACCTGAAATTTGGTGAGAAAAAAATGGTTTTCAATGAGGAGGTGATATATTAAATGTCTAAAAAACTTCCAAGTATATTTAATTGGAAGATATTCTATTCAGCAAGACAACCAGGGGAGACAAGGATCAAATTTGGAAAATGTGGATACAAGAAGCAAGATGTGGAGTGAAAAGATAGGGATGGGTTTTCAAAATGGAATTCTATTCTGCATATCATTTAGTACCAAAAGACACTATTGTTCCTGTACTATGTGTAAATAGAGACAGTACCACTTCAAATAATTCAATTTTTAAAATGTTCCCAGTCATCACTCTTATCTCTGTGTGAGTAAATATAGTCTCCTGTTATTATAAAATTTTTATTAGCCAAGCTGTCTACTAAAGATTTTATGTAACTAATCCTTTCTTATAATGTCAAGATTTGTAGTTGAATTTGAGCCAATCTAGAAAAACATTAGTCATTTCCCAAAGATAGTTGTAGACCAGGTATTCTGGCCAAATTGTTCTAATTTTGAAATCATAGTCATGAATTTTACAATTAAATTCTCCTTCAATTAAATTCCCTATCTAGACTGTTAAGAGCATACAGAACTAATTATAAATTCTCACTAATTGTTTAGTATTTGTAAATCACTTTAAAGATTAAAAGAGTTACCTTCATGCTAAACATTTTTCCATTAATGAAACAAATATAACAAAATATCGGCATTTATTGGATTCAGTTTGAGGAGGATCCAGTGGGATATAAGAATACTACTTATGGGAGACATAAGTATTATGTCATTGTATTATTCTTTATGCATTTATCTTTGACAAATTTTATAATGTGACATTTTTAAAAAATTAAATGATAATGGCATTGTTACACCTCCCCAAATGTAAGTAAGGATTGTTATAGAGAGGTTTATAAAGCTCCCAAGTTTCAACTCATGGTTTTTCACGGCTGTATTGACTTGCCTGCCTGGCACCTGCACCACCTATTAACATAAACCCCAAGTGGATGAAGTGAGTACATTGTCCATTCTAGCTCAATACCATTTTGTGTCAAAATTGTGTAACTGAATACTAAGTAAAAATCAAAAGTTATTTCAATGGTCTTCACAGTTAATATTTCCCATATATTCTGAAATAATTATTTGTGTTTCCCTAGGACTTTTCAGCATGGCCTGGATGAGTCTGCTTCACATTCCTTAAAATCATTTTTCAACCAACCTTTACATTGGGTTTCGTGCATATCACATTTCTACCCTTCTTTACTCAGGTGAGAACCTCTACATGCCATACTATCTATAATTCTATGATTCCTTTAAAAATTTAATAGAAACTTTTATCCATGGATATAAATACATCTTACAAAAAGAACTTACAACTTTTAACAATAGGGAGGTAAGTAAAGAGCATTATTTCTCTTTTTTTTTTAGTTCAAGAATCCAAGGCACACTACTCATAATCATTCCATTAACTTATTGCTTTAGTGATGAAATGGAAAACTGAATTTTTGGAATTTAGTTCTATTTTAAAACATCCTTTTTGGTCTATGACTAGGGATTTGACAATTCTCAGCTAATTATCATAGACAACAAAACTGGATAGTTTATGTAACTAACTCAGAGCCTTAGGTAGAAGTTGAGAGAGAATTAACTTTTAAAATTATGAGTAGGATCTTTCACTTTTATTATTTAATTAACAGCATTTAAAAACAAGGAAATCATTTGCAGTATGAAATGTACTTCCAGAGTAATTTGATGACATTTTGTGGCATTATGTGGAATGGCAGTTTGACTTTTTGCTGAGTATGTCATTGGAATGTACCTTTCCTTGGTATCTGAGAATAAAAATATCATGTGTAGCTAAAGGAGATATTGTTAATCCCCATACATTCTATGGGGAAATACACTATCAGCAATTTCATCATCTAAATCGACTGACTGTTATCTTTCTCTTATGGAACAAGAATCCCACCCATATATAGAGGGTATTAAAACCTCATATGCAAGTCTTTATTGACATGACAAACATTACTGCTTGCCAACTATTTGCCTGCCCCTGTATCGGTAATGGAGAATCCAAGAATAATGAGACATAGACCCTGCTTTCAAGGACTAAAGTGTATTGTTATTACTTCACTTACCTGTAAAACTTTGTTAACATCTCTAATTAATTACTTATGATTGATTCCTGAAAATAGAATATCCTCAACACTCTGTCATATCAATATCCTGTCATCTTGCAAGTAAATATATTTTATGTCATTCAGAATTAAATAACCAACTCTTTCTACTCAGTATTGCATAAATAAAAATTAAACAACTGGATCTTTTACAGTGTGAATTAAGCAGACAAGCTGTATCATTCTCATGAGTTCTAAACTTCTAAACATATTTGTCCTCTATGTTGTTATCACATTTGCTTCAATCTATTTTTATTGGCTTCTTTTATTTTGTATCTGAAACCACCAGAGTTATTCCCCTTCTTACAGGTGTAGCCCTGTAAGACTTCTACTTGCAGGCTTGTGCAGTTAAGCCCAGCAAGAGGCCTGGGAAGTCAGCAGGAAAATGGGTTTATCTTTCAAATAGCCAATTCTTATATTTAACTTCTTTCTCTTTTCTATACCCAAAGCAAGCAAAAATGCAACAAGACATTTCTTTCTTTCAGCTTCTATTCATCGACGAATCCGCACTGCTATCCTATCACAAAGATTACAACACGAGGGTGACTATTCAGCCCATAGTGGAAATGCAATTTGATGCAAGTTTTCTGGAGGGCATTTTAATAATAAGTATCAAAAAAACTTAAAAATATTTTCTCCTTTATCCAGCAATTACATTTCTAAGAATCAACCATAAGAAATTAATCAGAGATGTTGACAAATATTATATGTAAAGATGTCCATCGAAGTATTATTTGTAAAAGAAAAAATGGAAATGCATCTTCTAATGTATGATATTAGACAAATCTGTTATGGAATATCCATATGATAGACTTCTGTGGAGTCATTAAAAGGGTTGGTTTAGAAAAATATTTAATGACATAGGGAGATATAGTTACAGGGAAAGTGCAGGTTAGAAATTATGAAATCATAAAAGCCAGCCAGATTTTTAGAGTGATAAGTGTGTACCAGACATGGTGCCAAGAGTTTTACCTACATTATCTCTTTTAAACTTCACACCGGTTCTGTGAGGTAAGTAGCTGAGGGCTTCTTTTATGGAAAGCAAAGTGATGTGTAGGTAGTAACTTTATGAAGAGAACAAAGCTGGGAGGTCAGGCTCTGAACTCAGCCTTTTCCATTCCAAAACTCAAGCTCTTAACAACTCCACCTCCACCTTTCAAAGGGAAAGCAGTTCAAGATGATGTTAACAGGTATGCATGAAAAATCATTGCCCTGCACAAACAAGTTGGTCAATTATTCAATATGTAAAGTCTCTTTTTTATGGCTTGACTTTTCAGGGCCTCAGATGTGCTAGTGTTCAGTGTTTATCTCTGCCATGGTCTGAATGTGTCCCCCAAATTTCATATGTTGGAGACTTAACCCCCAAAGCAACAGTGTTGTGATCTGGGGCCTTTGGGGAGATGTTTAGGTCTCGAGGGTTCTGCCCTCGTGAATGGATTAATGCCATTATAAAAGGACTTGCAGAAGTGGGTTTACTCTCTTTTGCTCTTCCAATTTCTGCCATGTGAGGGTGCAGCAGGAAAGCCCTCACCAGATGCTGGTGCCTTGATCTTGGACTTCCCAACCTCCAGAACTGTGAGAAATAAGTTTCTGTTCTTTGAAAATTACCCAGTCTGTGATATCCTGTTATAGCAACACAAAATGGACTAAGATAATCGGTCTCCAAAGGAGGGATCTAGTATGCAGAGTCTCCAAACTTGCTGGATGAAAGAACTCTTGTTTCCCAGGGGATGAGTACTTATTGGAAGGTGGGACACAACTCAGAAGTGCTGAACTATGCTATGCTACCACATTTAAAGCACACAAAAAATACCTATAGAAAAATTAATATTGAAAAAACATGTCTTGGGGGGTTTATAGTTTTATCTCCTTCAAAACTCCATTTTTCACCTTAGCAACTAAAATGAACTTTTCAAGGAAATACAGAAGTTGGATGACGACAAACTAAAAATATATTAGGCGAGTCTTTTTTGGAAAAGGGAAATTAAGGGAATCTTTTTTGGAAAGCTGAGAGGAGAGCTGACTGAAATAGTTAATATTATGAAGGATCTTAGTCATTAGTCTATTTGCTTATTTGTAACTGTACCTTATTTCAAAAAGGATTTAAGTCAGCTTTTAGCAATGTTAAGTTAATTAATTAACAGTAGGTGAGAAGAAAGGAGAAGGACATGAAATTAAGACGAAAGGATTTAAGTCAGCTTTTAACAATGTTAAGTTAATTAATTAACAGTAGGTGAGAAGAAAGGAGAAGGACGTGAAATTAAGACTTAAAATAAGAGCTATGAATGGATCAACAGATGTATGGACCAAGCATTTGTCTATAAGCTTACTAGAGAAAACCATGAAGTATATAATGCATAAAACGGAATTTTTCATGTTGTCTTAGAACCCTGCAAATCAAGTTTAGAAGAGTTTGCTTTAGGAAAATAAATGTATTTTCGAAGCAAGAAGTAAATACTGTATTCAGGCTAACAATGTGAGTTGATTTAGAAAGGGTAATCAGTTTCATACTAAACTAAGGTATGTGGAGAATATGAGGAGTTTTCAAAAAGTTCACGTAAAGATTTGTATTATCTTTTAACTACATTTTTCCATGAACTTTTTGAAGTACTCTCGTAATCTGAAGGTTAGTACTATGACACCATATTGTACTCTCATTTAAATGTTCAAGAGAGAATATTGTCTGGATCAATTACAGCATGTTGCATTATAATGCTTTCTGTTATTTTCCAAACTTTCATCTTCACGTGATTCTTTAAACATTTCCAAATATTTTTTAGGTCTTCCTTAGCTAAGTAGGTTATAAGTACACCCTGAATCCAAGTAGCATGCTCAGTTTGAGTAAACAGACCATTCACTTTACACTGCTCATTTTCTTTTGTGTTGACAACATGATGTTTTGATTAATGGCCAGTCTGTCCTGAGCTGTAGATATTTCTTTCTACTGTGCTTTTGTTTCTATTATGCTTTTACCCAATGTAATCCTGTTTTTTATTTTTATATATATATATATTTTTCTCCCTAAAATTTTACTTCATCAAATTGTATGTTATATGAGTCTTTCCTTTCATCCATGTCACCAAGATGCATTTCTTCAATAAGTGCATTTTAAAAACTTTTTCCATGTAAGGCATCATGCTAGGTGTTAATGGTGAGGAAAGAGGCTGGCAGTGAAGTTGGAGACAAAGTCCCTTTCCTCATATTGATACCTGTTGGTGAGGAATGAAATCTCAGTTACCTACTTGACAACATCATACAATACCATTGTAAAAAACTTTTTCCATGTAAGGCATCATGCTAGGTGTTAATGGTGAGGAAAGAGGCAGGCAGTGAAGTTGGAGACAAAGTCCCTTTCCTCATATTGTTACCTGTTGGTGAGGAATGAAATCTCAGTTACCTACTTGACAACATCATACAATACCATTGTCCACTTCCTCCATCTTGGGATATTCTCCTGATTTCCTCCTGAGATATTCTCAATTTCCTTCTTCTTTTCCTGTTGCTACTTCTCTTTCTCCTTTGCAGGTTCATCTACTTTAACCTGGCCATTAAATATTGGGTGCTGCAGTGTTGTATCGTATAATTCTTCTTAGATGATGTTATCATTCCTGTGGCTTCCTGTACTCCCCGTGGGCTCCACCCCTCCCCCAAATTCATAGGTCTAATTTTAACCTCTCCTTAGACTACAGACCCATATATTTGTGGGTGCCAACCAAACATGAGTACCTTCTTGAGGTTTACACCTGGAAACCACAAAGACACATCAAACTCAGCATGACCAAAATTGAACTTAGGAAATATATTCCCCTCTTCTGTTATTTCCTATGTCAGCTACTAGTATGTCCATCCAATTGTACAAGCCAGAAATTAAGGAGGAAACCTGGGTTCTTCCTTTTTTCTCTCCTACATATCAAAATCCATTACTGAGTCTCATTAATTTTAATCCTAGTATCTACTATCCATAGCACCACTTTTGCTTTAATCTGTACCACCATCATCTCTCTCCTAACCAATGCAGTAACCTAGCATTCTTCCCATGTATATGTTGACTTCCATTTCCAATGCTCTCCAAACTGCAGCCAGAGTTTTCT